ATCCCTTGGAGAACCCGGAGAATCCCTGCGCACCTCTGGGTTCCACCAGGCACACCTACGCCTGTGTCAGATTTATCTCCCTGCCACGTGGAGTCTCAGGGTGGATGCAGGTCTGGAGGGCCCAGGCAGGGCACAAGCCAGCACCCCAGCCAAGGTAACTGGGCCCTGAGAAATCCTTCTTTAGCTGGTATGTTTCAGAAATCTGAAACAGTCCTATAAAAAGCCAGATCCCCAGTTCCAGTTTTTTCTTTTTTCATTATAAGGCCTTGTATGCCCAGGTGCTCATTCCTGCTGGGCGTCTGATGGTGAGAACTGAGAAGAGGCTGCTGCTTTTCCAGAGCTTGGTTCCCAGGGCAGCCCGGCCCCTACCCAGTTGGTGCGACATTTCATTCCTGGCTGACCCTGAGGATACTGACTGATTTTGCAGTAGTTAAGCTCCACACCCCTCCCCCTACCCTTCCGAAAGATTTCTCCAAAGTAACAGGGATTGGAGATGTGGGAGCTTTGGGGGAGATCATAGAACGATAGCAAAGGCCACAGAAAGAGCTGTTTTCTGTAACTGTTGTTGCAAAACAAAATATCCCAAATAGCAACCATTTTATTATATTTCACCATTTTACCAGTCAGGAATTCAGGCAGGGCTTGTCCAGTGACTCTCCTGCTCCATGTGACATTGTGGTCACTGCATGATATTTAGCTAGCAGATGGGCTGGTCTGGAGGGCCCAAGACAGCTTCACTCACATGTCTGGTACCTGCGCTGACCTGCCCAAGATTCCCAGCCAAAAGCCCAGCAGGCTCGGAGTCTGGTTTGTCTGATTCCACAGTTTTGCCCTCCTGCCCCTCGCCCACTCCAGCCCTCCTCTGCACCTCAGGAGGCTGACCCATAGGGACTCCACACCAGTGGGGACTGACCAGTAGGCTCCCAAACCTTCTCGCTTCCAGCTGGCTTTGGTAATTGGGGGGCCTATTGCCTGCTGGAGATCAGAGGGAGGGAGGAGATTCAGAGTATTTATTTTCCTGGCTGCGTCCCTGGACTGAGGGCCCTTGGTCCTCTCCCCTGGTGGGCTTGCTACAGACAGGACTCTCTGCTCCTGGGTCTGGTAACCACTCCCTGGCCTTAGCTTTGGGCTGAGGAAGGTATTAGGTCTGAGGGTTGCAGCACCCTCCCTTGTATTTCCCCACCACACATTTATTAAACATCTTTCAAATTATCCTACTTACAGGTGCCATTTATTTCCTGTGAGATCTGACTGATACATTTGCGCTTAGTCATAGCACAAATAATAGCTCATACTTACTGAGCCTTACTACATGCCAGGCCCTGTTCTAACTCCCCTACCTACATTAGCTCATGCAACATTCACAGAATCCTTATGAGGTAGTGCCTACTATTATTATCCCATCTCACAGATGAGGAAACCGAGGCACAGAGAGGTGCAGTAGCTTGCCTAAGGTTGCACAGCCACTAAGAGGCTGAGCTGGAAGCTGAACCCTGGCAGCCTGACACAAGTCCCTACTCTCACTGACTACTCTATATTGTAGGAAAAGTTCCTTTGAAAGAGCATCCTCTGTTTCCTCAAAGGCTCTCATCCAATTCAGAGCAAGGTTTGGGGGAGTTTTGAAAAACAAAACTATGCGATGAGATTTTTTTCTTCACTAATAGTCCCCAGAAACTCCGGCAAGGCTTGGAGTTGACCTCCTAAAGGTGACCCTCCCCTAAAAATGCCCATAATTCTCCCCCTCAGTCATCAGACTGAGTCTATTTGCTCTCCCCTGTGTGGAGGGAGGGGAAGGCTGAGAAGCATGGGGAGGTGAGAACCACTCAATGAGGCCCCCAGAGAGGCAAGCCAGACTGTACTATTTGGGGGCAATAGGTTGTCGGGTTTACCTCTTCATCCCTACAGCCCTGCCATAGCTGGCCATCCTCCAGACCTAGGGAAAAGTGGAAGGCAGAGGGAGGGGCTGCAACCATGGACAGCCTGGACTCTTTGGATGAAAACTAGCAGAAACCTGACTCAGACTGTGCTTGAGCTTTTAAAAAAGGAAAAGAAAATACAAAGGACTGGATGTGTTCTTGTACCTAATGGTGCAGCTGGCTTTAAGTATATCAGAATCTAGGCCTCAAAGGATGTCACTAGGGCATAGTCTGTCTCTGCATTGCTTTCCTCCATCTTGGCTGTCTTCTTGAGTACATGGTGGCCCAGGTGGCTATTGGGCTGCCCCAAGTTTATACTCTCCCAGCTTAACGCTGGCTTGGGGTGGGGGCAAGACTGCTGGAATTCCCTGACATTGCCAACAAAATCTCAAGGAGGGACCTTATTGGCCCAACCTTGGTCACATGCTCATCACTGGGCCTGGTAAGGTGTAACTGGGAAAAGTGAGATTATCCACAGTTCAGATCGGCCTAGAAGGACCCGAAAGACTGTTTTAGGTGCCAGAGTTGGATAGATATTCTCCCTGAGGTCCAGAGAAGCCTGGGAGTAGCCTAATGACACTCTGGAGTGTCATCTCATTTATACTCATCACTTCTACAGATGAGCAAGCAGAGGTACAGAGGGCAAAGGGGCCTCCAGATGCTTTTACCAGAGCTCTGGACTTCAGTCTTCTCTGCACCTCAATCTGCTGCATGACTTTGGGCAAGTTACCTCTGCTCTTTAAGTTTCAGTTTCCTTATCTGGAAATAAAGGCGTTGGACAGGTGGGTCTCAACTGGGATGAGTTTGGCCCGCAGGGGCATTTGGCACTGTCTGGAGACATTTTTGGTTGTTACAAGGAGAGGGCATCTAGTGGATAGAGGCCATGGATGATGCTAAACATCCTACAAAGCACAGGACAGCTCCAACAGCAAACCATCATCTGGCCCCAAATACCAATAGTGCCAAGGCTGAGAAACCCTGCATTAGACAGAGGTCACCCTGTAGAGTCCTGTCCTGAGCAGTCACTGTGAAATGCTCTGAGGGCAGCCCTGGCTGAGGAGGCATTTTTGAGGGCCCGGGGATTTAGAAGAGAGGTCTTCAGACCCCACCAGAGTTGCTGTGGATGTGGTAATTTTGCAAGCTGACTGGCTTTCTCCCTTTGCTCTCATCTAGGTGTGGTACCCAGAATAGAGGAATTCGATGCCTAGCTTGTTGGATGAAAGACTTCCTTGCTAGATAGTGAGTTCACTGTCAGTGGCGGCATTCAAGAGGAGGCAGCGTACCCACCTAACAGAGATGTGGAGGAGGCGCCCTGCCTCTGGTCTGAGGTTGCAGCTGGGCTATTTTGAGGCTCTTTCAGGCAGGAGGTAAGGCGGGAAGAGTGCCCTGCATAGAGCTCTTGGCCTCCCCACCTGCCAGTCGGCAGGAGCAGGAGCTCCTTCCTTCCCACGCGACTCTTGGCCAAGTTGGAACTTAGCTAAGTTTTTCTCCCGGGTCTCCGGGAGCCGCCGGAGCGGCGGAGGCAGCACCCCTGCGCTG